TGTGGGATCCGAACCGGGGCCCTGCTGCTCAGAGCTGGCGTCCCAAGCCAGCTCTTAACCAATGCACCACTCGGCCGGCCCTAGATGAGTGTCTTCTTACAGAAGCTTTAAGGGAGAACTGACCCCTCATTCAAAAGATTTTTGAGAACACTTAAAAAGCATCTCTTAGAGTGGACCATTGAACCATTCTCTAAAAGAATGTCCACAGATGGCCACTTCCATGTAACAATGTTATTTTAGTACTAATATTATTATTCAAACATTATTTCATTTATTCCTGACCTATGAAGTGGGGACTATGGAAACCCCATTTTATAGACAACCTTGCTAAGAGCTGTAAAGAATAAGTAACTTTCCAAAGACTGTGTATAGCTCATTAAGTGGTGGTGCCAGGACTTGCCCGGGTTCCTCTGACCTCAGGGAACATGCTCCTAGTCACAATGCCTCGTGACCTCAGGGGTTCCCATTCTTTCCAGTGGCCGATTTGAGTGATAAGACCCCATCTCTGTGGCTGGTGCAGAAGGGTGAGAACTCCCAACTTATTTCGGGGCTCCAGGACTTTTAAGTACTGACTCCAGAGTCAGTCAGCAACATAAAGACTTCTGAATGTTGTATTTCTGGTAGAAATGGAGTAGAGGGGGTCACTACCCTTTATTCAACAGCTTTTAGATCACTATAAAACTTTTGTGGAATCTCATACCCCTAGTTAATGCGTATACTTTAAATTCCAATTGATTATAACTTTCCAAATCTTCAAATATTCATATGTAACTTCCACAGAACCACTATTTGGGCAGGCTCTACTTACAGAGTACAGTTAAATGACAAAAATCTCACTTAAATTTAAGGCTAAGACATTAATTAAAATAATAAAGGGTAGGGGATATGATATGGAGAAATACCACATAAAAATCACAGTAGCAAAAAATTAGAAAGAAATACATATAACTTATATTACTTTCCAATGTCAAAAATCAAAGAAAATACTTTACCTAAATATGGAAAGCATTAAGAAAAAATTTTTAGTATTCCTTTATGCTAAATCTTAACAGGCTAATCAACCAAGCCAAATCTTTCTTTGAAAGAGCTTGAAAAGAGAAATTATATTTTTTATGCAACTATAGGAATCAGGGTCTGCAGTTTTGCAGCCATAAAACACATCTGTGAAACAATATCTTATGTTAAGCTATAATATATTCTAAGTACACACTGTGATTTTGTCATAATCAAATTATTACAGATTTTGAATAACAGTTATGTGCTTTCATAGAGAAGACGACTGATGCTGAACTTGGGATACATGTATTAAAAATAGTAGCTGATGGGGCCGGCCGAGTGGTGCGATGGTTAAGAACTGGCTTGGGACACCAGAGGTTCCCCGGTTCGGATCCCACATATGAGGGCCAGTGACACTGCCCTCTACAGCTAAGATGCTGAACAACAACTCAACC